AGGCTCATTTTGTTGCTAATTTTTCAAACTATTCACCATAAAATTTTTAACGAAAACTGTCGAAAAAAAATTCTACGCGACAACAACCTTAAATTGTGGTTTTCTAGAATTGAGTGTTCAAATCGCTTATACAATTATGATTTTTTATTTTAATCATTGGTTTCAAGAAATTCTACTCTCTGAATTCAAACAACACGATTTTCTAGGAACAAGTGATACCCTTGAACCAAGAGATTTTTCTTTTCTTCGTAAAAACTTATCTTAGCAAAAATAACTTATAGGTATGTTTTATCTCATCAGTCTCCGTCAAGTCTATGTAAAATTGATTCTTTGGTCTTATCTATAGCGAAGATAATACTTTATTATAAGGAAGTTCAGAAGCAAGTAATATTCTTGAATCATGTATATTGATACTTGATTTCATTACATTCTAAGGAATACTTCGATATAACCAATTTTGTAGCCAGTTTAAAAATCAAATTTAATCAGATTTTACGATTTAAATTCAATAAATAAAACACACTAGATTCTAGTCTAAATATATTGGAGTAAATGATATTTTTCCCGTGAAAATTCGAGGAAAAAAGAGGGAAAATCGCATGGTTAAAATGAGGGGATGGAAAAGTTTAAACAATATTGAAAGATAATCTTTATAGTCTCCCAATTATAGGAAAAAGCAAGAGACTCTTAAAAAACATTATCTCCGCTAAGTAAACCTATTCCACGGAAGCAATTGCCTAGAATTTTTGCATAAAATCCTCGTGCAAGTTTCTCGTTTAAAATAAATTTGCTTAGTGTACTAAATCTAAGAGGCAAACCTGATTACGTTCCTCAATGGATCTATTTCCAAGCAGGTGAGGGTCAACCATTCGTTTATTTCACGTAGGATACCCCATCCTGTTTATTTTTAACGCTCGCCTGATTTTTATATCATACTCTATAAAGTAATTGAAAGCTAAAAAAAATTACGAAGTAAAAACGAAAAGAAAACTTCAAATTTCTTAATTTTTTAATTTCCATTGTAATTAAAATCGGCATCGGAAAAATTCACTAGAATCTGAAAATAAAAATTACTAATATTAGCATGAGAATATAATAAAGGTTTTGTGAAGGAAATCCCTTGAAGGTTTAATGGTCAGTGATCAAAAAAGTTTTTCATTAATTCAGCTTGCGTTGTACAAGAGATATTGTAAATTTATTACTTACCGCCTTATAGACTATGTACTTATTACTACGCACCTATTCTATTTGTAATCTACTGTCATGATGCATCTTATCTCACTCCAGATAATTGATTGAATTTTTTCAGGGTCAAATGCTTAACGCATTAAGAAACCTCATCAATACGATTCAGGATATCGATTTCTGTTAATTCTACGAATACGTTTTTTTGAACGAAAAAAATGATATCCCATTTTTTCATTTCTTCAAAGTTAGGACAGATCAATTAGTGCAAATTAAGCGATAGTTTTTCATTTTTTAATGGATTAAGTAGTGGACAGATAACGGAATGATCCAAGTAAATTTGTGATACTTTTGGAAATAGAGAAAACCTTTGTTCAATCGATTATTGTCGTGTCAACTCCTCATTGTATTTTTGCAGTTAGGAGAGTTCACTTTTTTAAATTTTCCTTTTATCGATTATGCGCAAATAATAAATACAATGAAAGGATCCGCATAAGTAAAGGATTCTGAAATTTTACTGTATTTATTGGAATCAATGAACAGTTTTCTTTATTAACAAAAAACTTTTCAAATAACACGTGAGATTCTGATGCTTAAAATAACTAAATGATTTATTTGTCTATTTTTTAAGTGGAAGTACATCTTTTATTGGTTACTGAGTAATTGACGGTAGTTAAAACTAGCCAAGAAGGATCCTTGGAAAAATTAAAATAAGTTATTTTAATCAGTTTTTTATTTAATTAGTACCTGATCTATTCGTGGCTACTTGGCAGGAGGTAGAAAATATGGGATGATAGTTATCATCTTGTACGATTCTTATGTTTTGTGGAAATGATTTACTTTCAGATTCAATTCCGGATGTCGACACAGGAGAATCACCGTAGCGGGCAATTGCGTTGATCGCAGCTGCAAAACTCCAGCGCTTTAAAAAAATAGATTGGAAAAATTGATAATTAATCGTGGAGGAGTTGCGGCATGGGCTTGCCTCGTCTTTCCTTGAAGAGATGCTTCATTTACATTTTCTGCGCTACTGGGATGATCCTGGTGGTGATGAATGTCCGCCAGAAAGAGCTGTGGCATGCCCTCAGGCCAGATCCTGGACCGGCGCAGTCTATTCGGGCGGTGCCTGATGTTGGCAAGGTAAATAAATTCCATATTATACTCATTGAATCGTGAAACATTCGGAAATAGACAAAAATTTGAACATGTAGAGAGATCATAACGCAATTTTATAAATAAATCACTCAATTTTCTATATCTGAACATCGATAAACAATTTTTGAGGAGCAGAACGGCTTCTCACGATTTATCGTCTGGGAATTGGTACTACATACTTTCTAAATTCGAAAATTTGAAAATCACTACGGAAAAATAATATCCAGACTGTTGGAATGGGGTTTTTTTACTCGTGTGACTACGACGTGCAGAACACACGAGTAAAAGACCCCTTCACCCTTTGGACGTGGTAAATAAAAATGAGTCATTTTTCCTTCTGCCAGCAGCAATTCAATTTTATGTACTTCATTGTTTGTGACGATCTTTCGATGAGTTTTTTGATCCAAGTGATAATTGTCGATCTGATAATTCCAAGTAATAACGAGATTAGACATTAAATTGGTTGAAGTGCATAAATGCACTTGCCAGGATATCGCATATGTTGTATTATCAGAATTTTTTAATGTTTCGCATTATTGTTATTTCATTTATTTCCCTCATTTAGACTCTAAATGGGCAAATTCTACTTGAGAGCAAGTCGTGCTTCCGACCTTTATTAGTACGTAACGAAGGGTAGAGGAGAGTCCATTGTATCGGGTGATGGGTCTTTATGACTCAAGTCGTACAGGTTCTTCTCCTCCGCTTAAATGAACCGGAGTGGGGGTGACGTTAAAAAAAAGGAAAAGCGGAGAAGTGAGTCAAAGTGGAAAATTGGAAATTTTTCTTGCTACGGCTGTATTCATTTTAAAAACTGACATGAATAAAATGTGAAAGAAGCTTGATCAATAACAAAGGAACAAATCAGAGAATTTCATGTTCCAGCATTCCTCTACTCAATTATTCATGGTATAAAATTGATTTTCAATAAAAATATGGATTGAAGAAAATTTTCTGAAGACATTACTTCTTAGAAAATATTATTTTTTAATAAATATTATTCGAAATGGTCGTTATTACACAAATACTTTAAAAGGCTAAATGTAGGGTGGATTTTTGCAACAATTTTATTCTTTTTTTTTATTGGATTATAGTCAGCTCAATATCTCAGTGGAATTGAGAGGCTATGTAACATTACCATAGGAGCGAAGTTTTCAATCCAATTATGTTCTAGGGTGAACACATCATTTCTCAAGATCAAATTCTTATTCGCCCCATCATCATTTTACGCAACGATTAATAATTTGAGTTTTTCAAATATTTGTTTTATCCAAAAAAATAATTGGATTGGAAATTTCACTCCTATGAAGTAGTTTCAAAGGAAAATTAAAAATACAATCTCGACTCCTGCCAAGCTAGTTAAATTTCGAATTCTGTGACGTATTATATTTCAGCTTGCTAAATTTTTCAGGCTCTTGGGTGTGTCATAGCGTGATTTGATAGCTTGAAGCTAAGCTAATATATTCCGGTGACAATTGAATAGCTAAAATTACAAATTGTAATTAACCATAACTGTTTCATTTGTTGATAGGTTTCAGATTTTCTTCTCTGCTTTTTCCTTTGACCAATGGTGAGAATCAGGAATTCAAATAATTAGCAGCAGCTCAATATATTTCTTTCTTAAGGATGCTCCACCCCAATATATAGTTAAAATTCTCGTTTTTTAATTTTTGTGGCGAATTATCGATAGGATTGATGTAATAAAATAGAACGTTCTTGCGTTTTGTCATTATTTAATAACAAGCAATTGTGATGGTGCGACCATTTTCATGCATTTTCTCTATATTTCTGTAATTCTTTTTAAAAGTTTAGAAAAAACGTGCAAAAATATTTGCACCACCACCACTTCCTGAGTCATTGAATAATGACACAAGAATGGTTATATATTTATTAGATTCCTAATTCGAGCTTATGGCTCTGCTCCGAGCTACCTGGAGGTTGCCCATGCCTGATTTGTACCTTAAAACCATCTCCAGTTGACCGATTAATATAACCCGGTAATAATGTAGAAATTAATTAAAGTTTCGGGTTCTCAACTTGTGTGGTCAATCTAAAAATGTACTCATCATTATTTACCACTTCATTACTGCCACCAATCTTAATTTTATCTAATACTATATATCTGAACATTTTTCAATAAATGTTTAGTAGACTCGTGCTAGAGATTTTCCCTGGCTCCTGGTTAGAGGGTCCAAGGTATTCTGAAACAATGGACGAAAAACAAAATAATAAACACTAGCAGTCAATATGATTAAGGTTGTTGTCGCGTAGAATTTTTTTTCGACAGTTTTCGTTAAAAATTTTATGGTGAATAGTTTGAAAAATTAGCAACAAAATGAGCCTTTTCCATTTGCAATTGACCGTTTTGAACTTGAGATATAAATTTTTGAAATTCGAGTGATTTAACACGTGTTTAAATGGAGTTTTGCCGATTAGAATTTTTTAAAAATCAACGGCTCGACAGTTTCAGAAATAAAAAAAAAACGTGGAATATACATCGTGAGAGGAAATACAGAAAAAAAAATCAAATCGATTGACCGTTTGGTTTACGGAATATAATTATCGGAAATTCATAAATTTATATAATTGAAAATAGTTAATATGGAAAATATATAGTTATGCTTTAGCTATCCATGCACAATGCAATCAATCAAGTGAGACTATATACCGCTAAAAGATTGTGTTCTAAACTGACCCGTTTTACAGCGGATAAACTTTTTACAGAGACTGTCGCGCGACAACAACCTTAATCAGCCTCTGATAATTTCCAATTACGTTGATGGGATTTAAAATCGTTGGACCCTGAGGAATACTTCCGAGCAGGTCTCTGAGGGCCAGTTTTTCGATGAGTTAATTAGGCCAGTCAAATTGAACCTTAACCACCTCAAAGAGTCCTGGCAGTCTGAAATTACACCAAAATGTAGAAAAAAGTCTCCTCATCATCACATTAAAAATGTGTACCCGCACGTTCAACAGAAATATGCTTAATTAATTAAAAAGTTGGGACGAATGCCAAAAAACTGCACTGGATTAATTTATTTAATCCTATCGGAAAACTAACAGAGGAATTTTCTCGACATTTCAATGCAATTTCAGCCTGTCACGACTTTTTTGGGTGGTATCAAGTATAAACGTGAGTCTTGTTTCACTGGCTTGAATCGCGAGGTTAAAGTTGAGTTAGGACTCCTCACCGCTGAGCTTAGCCTACCAGGTATCTCAACTTTAATTTTAACACCGGTTTTAGCATTAACCACAGTTAACTTATCGAAGAACTGGCCCTTAGTCCAGAGTCGGGGAACCTCTGCTTTGAGAGCAAATCGTGCTGTCGACCTTTATTACTTCGTAACTCCTGCTTCAGTTGACCGAAATGTCCTCTTTCTTTTCTGTTGACACACTGAATGAGCGATTTATCATAGAACGGGAGGAGTGAGACCTGTGCCTCACATGAACCCAAAGATAAGAACAACAGGCGGTTGTCCTGTACATGTTGATGGAGGACAATCATAGAGGCCAGAGGGTCAAAGGAACATTAAAGTTCCACTCAAAAGAGTCAGTCTCTCCTTGAGAGAGGAGGCGTGGCCTTCCATTAAACATAACAACTTTAACGTAACTCTATGCTACCACTGATAGGCTCCCGGGCTACTACTTCATCTAGATAATTCCAGAGGTGGATATGTCTACATCGCATCCATTAAGAATGTAATTGGATGGAATGACTTATACATTAAATTTCGTCCTTCATCAGTTGGAAAGAGTTTATTCACTACGATTACATCTGCTGTTCAATTGAATAAGAGGTGAAAGATAAGACTGGCCAGTTAATGTTCGTCAATTGACTGTAAGAGTGAATTTTTTCTTCTGTTGTGTCTCGAGTAAAATGAACCAGAACCATAAAATTTCTCAGGCTAAGGCATGGAAAAGTGAGAGATAAGTCGAAGGGTTCTCGTTGAGAAAGAATATGTCAGATACCCTTTTTAAAATAGTTTATCCTGCAGCGAGGAAGAACAAGAGCTTGTGTTGACGGGTCACGATAGGTGTGATTTTGGTTGGCTTTACTGAGTATTTCTTGTGACTTTTCAAAATTTATTATCTAAAAAGGTCCGGAGAATCACTTCATCTTCATTGTCTATCACTTCATATTTAACCGTTATATTGCGGGAAAATTCAGTCCATGCACGACAGCATCATTGAAAAGTCCTCGGCGAGCCTTGACAATTATTTTACCTAACACGGACTTTATTAGAGATTCAATATTTTTTTTGATTGACCATTAATTAAGTTATAATATATATCATCAACCGGCCCTTAGGAGTGTTTCTGTCGATTGTGACTTTAGAATTGGAGGCGAAATCCAAACACAATCGTCAGAAAAGTTCCTAACGACCGAGTGGCAAACAACATTTTTATATTTTAATCAAAAATTGATGATGATAAGAGAGTAGTGGTGTACACCAATCGTTGTGTTCAGCCAGAGATGATTGATAATAAGGTGAGGTGTTAAGGTGTTATAATAGGAATTGGGGCGTCTGTTTAGAATTATCTAAATTATTTATTAATTTTCCTGTTTTTCCGAGATTTATTGAAAACTATCGATCGGATTGGGATATCAAAATATAACGTTTGTCCGTTCCATCATGATTGACTCTTCCATAAAGTTTCATCCCGATCCACTATTTTTTGTAACTTTTCACTAAAATTTAATAAAAAATCAATAAATTTTAGTGAAAAGTTATAAAAATTGGTGTATCGAGATGAAACTTTGTGAAAGAATAAATGATGATGTAACGGACAAACACTATATTTTCATATCCCAATCCGATCGACAGTTTTCAATAAATCTCAGAAAAATAGGAAAAATAACAAAATACCGGTAGAACATCCTTAAGGTGGTTGTCGCGCGACAGTCTCTGTAAAAAGTTTATCCGCTGTAAAATGGGCCAGTTTAGAACACAATTTTTTAGCGGTATATAGTCTCACTTGATTGATTGCATTGTGCATGGATAGCTAAAGCATAACTATATATTTTCCATATTAACTATTTTCAATTATATAAATTTATGAATTTCCGATAATTATATTCCGTAAACCAAACGGTCAATCGATTTGATTTTTTTTTCTGTATTTCCTCCCACGATGTATATTCCACATTTTTTTTTATTTCTGAAACTGTCGAGCCGTTGATTTTTAAAAAATTTTTTTAAACACGTGTTAAATCACTCGAATTTCAAAAATTTATATCTCAAGTTAAAAACGGTCAATTGCAAACGGAAAAGGCTCATTTTGTTGCTAATTTTTCAAACTATTCACCATAAAATTTTTAACGAAAACTGTCGAAAAAAAATTCTACGCGACAACAACCTTAAGGGGAACGCCATATGTTGCCTTTGGACCTGTCACATCCTCGTTGTGACGCTGAATAACGCAAAGAGTGGTGTATGTGAGGAGATAAAAGAATTCCGCAATTAGAAAAGGAAAAAATAGCGATTGATAGGGTAGTATGCAGCTTCTGACCTGGTACTGGGGCTAAGCAGCTGGTGCGAGTCTACTAAGTAATTACCCATTTTTTAAAATTCGTTTACGAATATTGTATTGTTTTATGAGACAATTGTATCATTTGGTGTCAGTTAATTGATTGGTGGATATTATAGAAGACTGTGATAATTAATAAAGAAAAAGAGGTTGATAATAGGGAAAAAGTACAATGGACAGTTCATTAAATTTTTCTTTTCTGTATGATTCCAAAGAAAACCGCCACAATGGCTCTTTACAAACCCAACATTTGGCTCTCACCCATTTGTTCTCGTTGCCAAGTGCCTTGAGAATCACTCGAAAACAACAGTACCCTCGTACTCTAATTCATTTACGACCCCCCACTGATCCCAGAGAAACAGAGGTGGCATCGAGGAACCGAATTTTAAAGAACTCGAAAAAAAGAAAACTTTCCCTCGCAGATGAAACTTTCGGTGTCCATAAAACCTAAGGGCTCGTCTACCATGAGGGCCGCGCGTGTCAGGCAGAGTGTCAAGAATAAATCATCAGTTAAGAAATTTGAGGTAAAAGGGAGTGAGAAGCCTTCACACAAAAACATCTGAACGTAAATTACGGGATTCACATGAAAAGAAATATTCAATGCACGGAGAGAAATATTTATTTTAAATTACAGAACTGAAGTTCTGTTATATTGATTACGGAATAGACTAGGGAAATTTTTGTCATTGAAAATTACGGAATGCTCTAGAGAAATTATGTGACTTTAGGTTAAAATTACGGATTATTGACGGCAAATTTCACCTAATAAAATTGTCTGTGGAGTGAAATGCATGTGACGAAATTCGGACGATACTTACACAGAAAGAAAAATACCGGAAAAATTACGGAAGTTTCACGTATTCGTGGGGTGACCTTGGTTTTCGGGGAAAAATACTGTAAGTTCCGTAAAAATTTTCGTAGCCAGTAGGAATTTTTACGAAACTTTCAGGACAATTTTACGGTACCTCCGGTACTTTTTCCTGAAAAGCAAGGTCACCCCACGAATACTTGAAAGTTCCGTAATTTTTCCGGCATTTTTCTCTCCGTGTTCAGTCTTCCGAGCGTTCGTAATTTTTATCTGAATTTTCTGGAGAAGAGTATTAAATCATTTCGATTCTCTCACTCGCTTTCGTAATCGATGAGCGTGTTGTAAATTTCACCAGTTTTACTGAGTATTTCTCTCTATGAACTCTCTAAATTACAGAATCAAAAACGTACACTACGAGGTTGGAGCTGAGAAATTATGAAATTAAGAATGTGCATTACAATTTCAAATTTCAATTGTAAGAATTTGAAATTGTAATGTGCCGTTTTGAGTTTTCAAATTTACATTTTTAATCGAGGAATTGACTAATTTGAAATCGGCCATTACGTTTGTAATTTCGTAATTTACCCGATTGAAAACATTCTAAATTACGTCTCACAGCCCGTATTTTACGGTTAGTTTTTTGTGTGTCCTGTTTATCGAACTATAGCACTTTAGACACTCTAATTTCTAGAGAATTAGAAATATTGAACAGAGAATATCCTGAATATTCAAAGATCATTGATAAGGATTCAAAAATACCGGGGCACAATTCCTTTATAAAAATAGCTGTTAAGTTCAACACTCAATTCGATCTTTGAGGTGATGACCTGATTTAGAATCAACGTTCATGGACCAGTACGATAGGTAAATAATGACGCATAAAGAATTCACACTTCATGCATTTGTGATAAGGATAGAGTGCGGTAAAATGAATTGTTTCAAATCATAAATGTGCCCCGGTTTACCGCAAATACTAATTATGGGTGAATAAAGAAGCTTCTGCATAGTTCTCGAATTTGCTGTGACTACTAAACCATAAAAGAATTTAATAACAATTGTTTCTACCACTGAAAGATACAATTGAAAATATTACGCTTGATTCGTGGAAGATCCATGGAAGATTCATCGCACGGACAATTCCTTACTTTGACACCTCACACTGAGAAAATTATTTTTGCCAGAAATATTTTCTTCCCACCAGTAAATCTGGTGATCACTGTGTAAATACTCCCATAAGACTTACTAATGCCAATTACATTTTCTTGTGGTTAGTAAATATTCTTGGTTAAAGAAAATTTTTTTTCTCAGTACACCGTATGAATAAATCCGCATACAAAAAATTTTGAGAGATCACATTGAGATACATTTATATTTTAACTTAGGTGATTCCATTTCTCGTTCAGGAACTGATAAATAATAGAATAATAATGATAGATAGAATAAATAATAACGATTCTCGTCCGGAGCTGGGTATGTAATAAAATGTTCATATAATAAATTATCCCTATCATAAAATGCCCAATGATATTTTCCTGCGGGATTTTGACTACTATACTGCTATGATCTGTTTTCTAGAGGTGTTACCAACGATTAGAAATGTCATTTATGACCAATATAAACACAATTTACAATTTCGTCCTCATAAATTACGATTAACGCTTATGTAATCATCATTTACGGTGACGAAATCGTGAATTGTTTTTACAGCGATTGTTAATTATACAATGATTAATTATGTGGTCGTAATTTATCGATCGCAAAATATAATTCCTCAGGCGTAATTCGCGCTTATATTTTTCTGTCTGTTTGACAAATGGAATTTACATTCTCTACGTGCATTCTTCCTCTGTTCATTCAATTCCAACAATGACATGATCGAAGGTCACAGCAAAATCGAGAAATTCCACAACATTGTGAATTCCGCAAGTTAGCCACAAATATCCGCTTGATAGTGAAGTATGTAGCCTGTCGACTAGGTCGTCATAGTCGCTAACACATGCGCAATAATTATATGCAGTGTCTCGCATTTCATAAATGAGCAGCTCTTTTTCAATGTAACACGTACACATGAGTAACACGAGTACATGAGATACACCAGAAGTACTACACATTAGCTAGATCGAAGAAGCCAATATGTGCTCGAACGACGGCACCGCCTTTTCACGACTATTCTTCTGTAGTTGTGATCACTATTCCAAGTTATTTTAATTTATATTCATTGATCTTTATTGGTGACAATGACGAAATTTTCATTGGTCTTTTTTACCCTGTAGCCCTCGAATTTGACTGGGACTGTCAACCCAGTTGATCACATTGCGGAGATTATGGATCCGAGCAAGAGGCCGTGGTATATGAAGGGCGGAACTAGGCGACCACTTCCGGGTGTGAGGTCCAAGAGAACTGGAAGAAGAATCGCAAGATTGTGGCCAGATGAGGATTCCAATGATGATAGGGTTACAAATCAGGTAATTGTTGCTTATCATTGGTTCCTTCATGTTGAATATACCAAAACGATAACAGGATTTCTTTCTGTAATTTCCGTTTTGATATTTGGCTTTAAGTCAGATGTTCTTTCTTTTTCGAAGCATTAAGAAATAATTTCTTACAAAATTCTCTCAAAAACTGGTTATATAATGCAGTCGAAATTCGAATGACATTGGAAATTAAACAGCAAAACAAATTAGAATAATGGCGAATCATTTTACCTTAAAATTCCATTTGAGAGTTGGAAAGGAATCAATTCATCACTCTGTATTTGTTTACTTTTCAGTTGATGTTTGTTCCGCTGGATTATAACAGAACGAGTGTTGAGCATCCCCCGAAGAGGATTATGATACCACATGGCATGGGAGAGGCAAAGACAGGATCAGATTTATTTCATCAGCTTGGATGCCCTGTCAATACTTGTGTTATCACACGTGATAATCCTGAGGGTGCGGACTTAATTATCTTCAAGGATTATGTTACTCACGTGGGTCGCAGAGCACCAAATCAAGTAACTATCCAAACACTCCGAGAATTACGTCCATTAAATGCTCATTCATTATCTTACGTTTAAAGTAATATTTCAGATTGTGATATTTCTTAACATCACTATCTTTTTGATAATATCACCAATCTTTGATTATTTCTTCATCATTAAAATCACTTTCTGGTAGATAATTGTCTTGTCCAAATGCATCGTTCTTACCAGTGCATCACAAAATTCTTGTAACTCCCAAGAAACGCCCCGTCTGGATGTATATGATTTTTATAATTCATATGCGTTCGATTATATTTAATTGAACATGTAATAAAGTTATCCCGAGTTCCCGACAGTGACGGGGCTGGTTTGAACCCCAAAAAGATCATATCAGCCCTTCCAGTTTTTTTTCCTCATTGAGTCTGACTCAATCTTATTCTTGATATCACTTATTTATTTCTTAAATAGTGAATTCATTCTGGTTTGCAGAAAATTTTTTTGAAGGAGTTACAAACAACCATTACCATTTTAATAATTTAATTTTTTTTTCTCTAAGTAGTCACAGTAATGAACAAACTCTGATTAAGACCATTCGTCAATTCTATTGAACTTCTGGAATAAGAACAGTCTCTTTTTGAACCCAACGATATTCGATAAATTAAGCCGGCGCTCATTACAGTTTTTTCTGAAAAAAATCAATTCCGTTTCTTCAGGCCTGGATGCTGTATTTCTTAGAATGTCCCTATCACACTCAAGCCGTAAGAAATGCTCTCGTAAATTGGACAGCGACGTATCGACGAGACAGTGATATCGTTGCACCCTATGAGAGATGGCAGTACTACGATGCACGAGTGACTCAAATACCCCAAACATTTAACTACGCTGCTAATAAAACGAAGAAAGTCGCCTGGTTTGTCTCCAATTGTCATCCCCGCAACCAGAGAATGCAGTATGCCAAAGAACTTGCCAAGCACATTCAAGTGGACATCTATGGTGCCTGCGGTAGTCTCCGATGTTCACGTTCTCAAGCACAAACGTGTTTCGAGATGCTCGACGCTGATTATAAGTTTTACCTAGCTTTTGAAAATTCCAATTGCAGGGATTATATAACTGAGAAGTTTTTTGTTAATGGTCTTGGGTGAGTTAAACTTTTTTATCTTTAAGTATCCTCACCGGCATGATCCAGACCAAATATTTTTCATGATTCAGCTTTTGTTCTGACCTCATTCTTGATCGTTCGATCGCTTGTTCATGATATTTTAATTCAAACAATGCTTTTCCGTTTTCAAAGTTTCATCTATATTCCACCGTTTCTAATCCTTGCAAAATCCAAGCTTCTGAAACATTTATAGTCATTCATGAGGTTAAATAATATTCAAATAAATTAAATAGATAAACCCACCCATTTAATTCTATCTTTGCTAACGGTTCAGAGCCACAAGGGCCTCATCCCGTTCATCGATAGAGTTAAAAAATTGGGAATTTGGTACGTGGTAAATGTCTAGTTCAGGTCTATCAAACAATTCTGGATGTCGTATATTTGAGCGGATGGGTTTCCGTTACCTAATTAAGGATCCTGGGCATCGTTTTAGAAGGGAACAATTAATTCGGGAGATATGGTTGCTTTCTGCGGTATCCAAGGTCACCACGAGGATGTGATGGCGCTGTAAGTCCCAAAGATAACACATGTTGGTATATTTAGAGACAATGGGAACACAGAAAGATGGATTTCAAATAGTCCTTCGACACTTCACTAAAAAAAACTCTGACTTCACCTCATGCGGCCAGCTACAACTATCACTGACTAAACACGACGAGTAATTCGTCCGCCCCTGTTCTGATGTAGCAATTAAAATTATGGATTATACTATCACTCACTCGTCGTGTTAACAGTGACAAAGGGGGGTGTTAAAGCATTTCAAGGACAGCAAAGTTTACCTCAGAACTATTTGACGATGTATTTTTATTAAAACTGCAACTAAACTTGTCCACACATGTATACCCTTTCGGGCTTTTACATTTCCCACCCCCAGTTCCCCCTGTACCGCAATTACACCGAGGGCCGAAGGGAAAACCTCATGGGAAAAAACGTTGGCCAGGTACAGTCGTCTCTTTCGAGACTACCGCTCGTACGATGAAAACCTGTGCAAGTTAGAGCGAATTCTATCTCTAAAAAACCCCTGGCATTTCCCCGACTGGGAATCGAACCCACGAATCTCATGTGCCAACCCCCTACACTCTAACCGCACGGCCACCGCACGTCGGTTGTATTTTTATTATTTACGGCTTATTTATTTATATTTAAAATTTATAGATATTTATTCATTTATATGTTTATTTTAATTAATATTTACGGCCGCAAGAGAACTTAGTCAGTGCCATCAAATGGCACCATCAAATGGCACCATCAAATTAATATCTCAATCATTGTTTTTGATGGACTTCTATACCATACATTTACCAAAAAAATTCTTTATGTCCCAGCTGGAGTAAAAAGCGCGATCGAACCGAGCGAAGCGAGACATAAAGAAGCATATGCACCACGGTCGAAAAGCATTTTCTGACTCATGTAATTATATAACATCACATTCGTAAGAAGACATTTTTCTTCCGGGGGTGCATAATATAACATTATCGCCCCATGAAATCATTCTGGTATAATAAAACTGCCTCCCAGTAATAATAAATCTCCCTAGAAGGAACTCCATGTGAAATTCACATATATCACAAAAGTACAGATATTTCTTTTTACATCGGCAGCTATAGTTGTTGATGGATGTTGACAAATTCCAATATGAAAGAGAAATAAAAACGGGAATAATGTCAGAATTACATTAGAGCTCTCCATAACCTAAAAAGTTAAAAACCGAAAATAAGTACCACATGCATGCGCAAGCAAACAAATATCAAAATCTACTTATAATCCGTTTAGATTTTTAACGATTATTCCCTTTTAGCACACGTCATCATTGTATTCCAACAAATATTGATAATTTTTATTATTCATTGTTTCATTTTGGTGTTTCAGCCACAACGTATTGCCAATAGTGATGGGTGCCCATCCTACGGACTACGCAAAGAGCGCCCCCTACAGATCCTATATCCACGTGGACGAATTTGAATCACCACGAGAGTTAGCTGATTACCTTCATCGCCTAGATCACGATGACGAGCTCTACAACTCCTATTTCAAGTGGAAAGGAACTGGTGAATTCATCAACACGTACTTTTGGTGTCGTGTGTGCGCCATGTTGCACGATCCTCGGCCACCCAAACACTATAAAGATGTGAACGAATGGTGGCGTGGTGATGATGTCTGCACTCAAAACTCCTGGAGGGAGCACGATACCAATGAAATAACCTTCAAAAACTCATGAACATTTTGCGATAGCGAGTGAAGCAATGAATCTCCTTCATTTTTTAATAATAATCATTCCATAAATAATTATCACTTTGGGCGACTGCATGGCGTTACAGTTGCAATTGATTATTTAAAAAATGATACTTCCAGGAATGCAGTGATTTGCAATTTTGATAATTAAACCAGGATGATGATGCATAATGAGAAAAGACTGCGCGGATCTCGTTTGGAACTCGAAAACATTCACAAAAAAATAGTGAATGGTAGGAATCCGTTGGAAATAATTCAGTAGTGAAGTGATGGAACGAGATAATTTTGTTGAACAATTTTTTTTTTAGTTATTTATGAACTTGTTAATATTGAAAGCAAGACAGTTGAATGTCATAGCACTTGTTTTATTTTACGGAAAAAGTTTCCCCCATATTTTTCAAATCCTTTTTTTGTTCACAGATAGGTATTTATTCCAAATCTGGTGTTACGTCGAACTGACAGAAGTTCCTCTTTGCTACTAAATTATTTTGACAATTTTGTTATTACTAAAATTGTAGTATTATTACAGCCACATGGTCAAAAATCGAGATGGCCGGAAAATAGTATAGAATTTTCAATTCGGAGAGATCATTCGGTGAAATGGAACTAATACGAAATTATTTTACCGATTTTTAAGTTTGATGAAGGATTTCATCCAGTCCTTTCAATGAACCAAGAATTTGTCTCCTGAAATTGAATAATTTGTCTTTTGTTGTAACTTTCACTTACCTCTCACCTTAAATTAAAATATTCCACCGTATTCTTTTTACGTCGATGAACATTTCGGAATTTTTCAATAATTTATTTCTATAAAGTGTTGAAATCCAAATACAGAATTTATTTACACTGTCAGTGTAATTCCTTAAGGGTGTCCCTTTTTTCGAAGAGACGTATTAGAGTCATGATAACAATTTTTCATTAATTAATTAATTAATTAATTTCATTATTCAAATCACTCGCCACCTTATTATTAGATAATAAAATAGTAGGCCTCATGAATTCGACGAGAACATAAATATTGATTATTTGACAGTAATAAATTGGAAAAGTGTCGAACCCCCTGCGGAAATAATTTCGTGTATTAAATATAGTTCCTAAGAATTCTGAAATGACATGAAATAGTTTAGCAGGCAAGACTCTGTGATACGTTCGCGACACCCAATGAAACTCACCCGAGATAGAGAAATCTTTTAATTTCCATTGTGATGATGATGACCGATTTTGTATTAAAACCGGCTTAATTTGCTTGGAGACTTCGCGCGCACACTGCCAAATAGAGAAGTTCCCATTCATTTTATCCCGTCGTATGTTTCTGATCATTATACAAAATGCACTTGCGAATGACGCACAATTTGTACAAATTTTCATGATTTCATTGAGATGATTTTGTTACTTACGGCATGTCTGTGTTAATTAGCAGATTAGTCATCAATTCATTAGTTATTATATTATTCACGAAAACTATTGTTTTTATGTGAAATATAAATGCACAAATCAAATGGCGACAGTGAAACAACGAATTGTGAAAGAGCATCAATTGTATCTAATTATTTATTTGTAGTTAACTATTTTATTCGAGTGATGATATTTATACCTAGAAAGATTGTCCATTCATTCATATTAGCAAGGAAAATTTCATTAATTTGGTCATAATTTCGATCTAATCCACTTGTTAGGCTTTCATTAAATTACATGAATTTATTTGAAGGGAATAGATAATTCTTCTAGATAAACAATAATTGAATGATTTGGCCAGATTTAATTAATTGAAGAATAACGAACTGACTGTGGTGTGAGACCAAAGCTAAATTTTGAGAGAATGATTTTTATTGATTGGGAACAGAGAGTTTATATTGAGAATTTTATGTTGATTTTGGAATCTTAATTGACGCAGAGTTGTAGGGACAACAATAGTATTAATGTCATACCATGTAATGGGAGTCAATTCAATTGTTTTAAAAAGTGGATAGAAAGTGAGAATTATGGGTGATTCGATGACGTACCAAACGTCTCACGTGTCCTCTAGTCCCAGTATTAGTCCATTTGTAATTGTAATCACTGGATTATAGATTAGAAAAAAGAAAGAGACATTCATGAAACGAATGATTTTCAAAATTCTGAGATTTTCACTGTGAAATTCAATTTGTTGAACCGATCATGATAAATTGTGTAAGATTAATTGGCATTATTATTATTGAAATTGAGTTATTAGTGTAGAATAAAGTATTTGAGAAATTTAGTTGAATGATATTCACGTAAGTTACAAAGAGAAGAACGGAACAATTATCAATGAAATTGTATAGAACATTCCAACATTCTTGATTGTCATTGAGTTTATCGGTGCTGACTGTTGTAAAATTGAAGAATACTTATAAGTAAATAAAGTAATTAGGAATGAATAAACATCGATGAACGATGAATACGACGAAGAAACAATAAGTGATTTTTTTTTCATTGCAATGTTATTAGGAATGATCATGAATCGAGGCGATGATTTTGTATATAATAGCTTGTAATATCAACGTTATTAATATTGATAATTGGAAGAATAAATATTCATCATTACTGATTAACAATTTTGTGTAATATACCACGCATATCGATCGCAGAAATACATTATGATAAATTTCTAGTGAAATTTATTTGTACATTATTGTTTATCCTCTTATTGGCGATAGTATTCCAGTCCTTATTCTAATTTTAAAATCAAATTTTATCAAAATTCGGAGTAAGTTTAACAAAATAAATTCAAAAGAGAGTGAGACATTAACATAATTATTATTGCATCAATAATTTTAGAAGTAGTTGATTGATAGTAGAATAAATTCAAGTCGAAAAATTAATTGATAATAATTTGGGAATATATTTATTACTAAAATTGTCAGGGAAAGTGCCAAAACTATCACACGGTGAGTACTAATTGTGACATTTTTATGGAATATTAAAATAATTAACGGCCGAACAAAATAATGTTCCTTTTTTTTCCAGTCACATCGCTAAAGTCTCCCGGTTTTTTCTTTTTTTTTACCGTAACAAAGGGCCGATAAATTCCTAAGTTTTTCACAACCACAAATTTAATTCGGCGCCGATGCTTCGCCATAAAAAAAACTGGGATAAAATCGATTGACAAATATAAAATCGAGCCAGAAAGCCCAAAATTTCTAGAAACGTTTTTCACACCGGATATTAAACAAATTTGAATAAAAATAGGAAAAATGATACTAATAATAATCTTTTAATGAATTCAATAATAATCTTACGAATAATAAAACAGGTGGTTTCATGCAAGAATGTTTATTACATGATGCAATTAAAACTCCCGTTTATTATATTATTTCATTCATACGTAAATGTAATTCAATATAAAACTTCAGGAATGTGGAATTCTCCATTATGAGATATCCATTAAGTTGATTAAGTATGAATATGATGAGGCTAATCAACTTAAGCTATACTGCAAATCCATTATTCATCATTATCACTTATATCACGGGGTTATATAGAAAGTAATATCACTCACTCAACATTACTTTTAATCATTTTGCAGCAGTACTAGTGTCACGTGCCACTCCATTAACACCACTGTACATTATTTTGGCTTGCTCTACTTTGTTATTGTTGAAATTTTAATTAAACATCCGTCAATCCATCCTTCGAGAGAGCTTTGCCATTGAATTTTTATCCAGTGTGTGACATTACTTTTGACACTATTTGGGAATAGTGAGATCCATACATTGCTTCTTGTTCTTCTTTTAGTCTTTTAAATAAACTCTGTGATTTTTCATTAGAAATTTAGGATTTGAGTAAACTGAGGCTACAAAGTTTTTCTTTAAGGTTGTTGTCGCGTAGAATTTTTTTTCGACAGTTTTCGTTAAAAATTTTATGGTGAATAGTTTGAAAAATTAGCAACAAAATGAGCCTTTTCCGTTTG